CATATTTTCTGTAGGTTCCAGCCCATTTAAACAATTTTGCTGCCGTTTAAGCCACAGGAAACAAACATAGTTTCAGCTAATTTTTTTAGAAGGCTTCTGAGCTTTTAAAAGTCAACTTGATTGAATGGATTGGGATGGATCACCACTCCAACTATATGCTGCTTGTGACCACATTGTTTTCACTGGGCCAGAATTTGCTATTAAATAAATGGCTAATTTGATGACATTTTCCTTATCAACGTAAAAGTTCTCAAGCAACGTGTAGCAAGGAAGATAAAGCTTAGAATTGTAAATTGTACATTTGGATGATTTTCATAAATAATACACAAATAAGCCCTTGGTAGAACAACAGTCATTTCCAAGCCAATATTACAGGATGTTACAAAACTAAAATGTTCTCAATAATAGAATATTATACCGTCTATGAATAGGAAGGGTTTACAGGGATATGGGCCAAATGCTGGCAAATGGGACTAGATTAATTTAGGATATCTGTTCAGTATGGACGAGTTGGATCGATGGGTCTGTTTCTGTGCTGTACATTTCTATGACTCTATGATATTTTGTGCGACGTGTCTATTACATAACGGATCAATGCTCCAGTAAAACCAATATATTCATTTCCAAGTGTTGCTGCTTTTCTACATGGTTTTCTCTGTGGATTGTTCATTCGAGTAGCTTATTAGAATTGCTGAGAAGAACCTAGTGCACCAAAATCCATCCTCTAGTACATTGGCGGACTTGGCCAATCCTTTGTTGGAGATAGCCAGACTGCTAGACCATCATAAGTTATGAACAGAAATCCAGAAACATTGGCAATGCTTCACTGTTCATTTATCAAGAACACAAGTGCTGATTCAGAGGCAACTCAGCACTCTCCATTCATCAGAAAAATCGACATGCAATATTGGTAGTGAAATTCACTCAGTTTTTGGTATCTCCTTTCGCTGCAAAACTCTCCCAAAAACCTTCACCACCTGGACTTCTGTGTTTTTTTGTTAAAGCTAGAAGGTAATAACAACTATCATCTGATTACCAGAATTTCATGAGCTAATGCTTTGTTGGTACCAGATTTGTCTGAAACATAGGTAAAAGTGTAGGCCATTCAGCCTCTTGATGCAGTTTTACCATTCAATTATATTAACTTCAACTTGAGTACTGTGTGCAATTCTGGTCACCTCATTACAGGAAGGATGTAATTCCACCAGAGAGGCGATGGAGGAGATTTACAAGGGTCTTGCCAGGACTGGAAAATTGTAGCTATGAGGGAAAATTGGATGGAATCTAAGGGGAACTTTGTTTGAGATGTACAAGTTTGTGAGGGGCTTGGATAGAGTGGATTGGCAGACAGGTGAGTGACTAGGGGCTGTAGATTGAAAGTGATTGGCGGAAAGGTTAGAGGGGAGTTGAGAAAAGCTTTTATCATCCTGAGCATAGCGAGATCTGGAACTCCCTGCCTGAAAAGGGTGGCAGAAACCCTCATCTCCTTTACAAGGTGTTTGGATATGCACCTGAAGTGCCTTAATCTGCTACAGACCAAATGGTGGGAAAGGATATGAGGCTGGGTGGTCCATCTTTTGGCTGGCGCAGAACAATTGGCTGAGGGACCTCTTTCTATGCCACATACACACCGTAAATCTGTATGGCAGGCCTGTACCCAAATTCCACTCACTGCCTTTGCTCCATTTCCTTTGACATCCTAACCTAACAAATGCAAATGATCTCAGACTTAAGTTTTTTTAATTCACACAATATTCATATTCTTTTTGGAAGTGAGTTCCAGATTTCAGCTATCCATACTGTGAAATGACGCTACTGAATTCACTTGTAAATGGTCTCCTTGCTTTTAAGATTGTGTTCTTTTTATGGATACATCCGTCAGTCGGAGTAACTGCTCTGTATCTATCCTATTGATTCCACGAATCAATTTAAATAAGTCGCAAATGCAAGAGAGGAGGAAACATTCAAGCAACTGCCTCATAAATTAACTCTTCGAGACCTGCTATTGTTCTGGTGAATCCATGCTGAACCCACGATCAAAGGCAATATGGAGGCTTAGTGCCTGAAAGCAGGACTCCAGGCGGAGCCTTGCCAAGACATTGGAACCATCATCACCTCACTTTCAAATCCAAGCCCCTTAAGATAAGTCTTTGTGTGTTCACAATAACCACCAGGCCATATTGGGGCAGCATCTGTCCTTATTAACTTGCCTTTAGCTACATCTGATTACTATGTGCACAATATTCACTATTGGCAAAAGAATCAATGGTGATACAAGAGAACATTGTTTTGTGTGCTGAACGGTTATGATCTGGAATGCACTGCCCAATAGGGTGGCAAATTCAGTTATGGCTTTTGAAAAGGAATTAGATCAACTCTTGAAGGGGAAAATGTTGCAGGGCTATAGGGAACGGGTTGGTGAGTCAGGCTCAATGAGGGGCATTTGCTCAGAGCCAACACAGATCTGAGAGGCCAAATGGCCTCCTTCTGTGCTGTAACTGTTCCAAGATTCATGATTCACAAAAGTCATAGCCCTCAGAGAAAATCTGCAAATTTTGCAAATGAACATCCGAAAAACCGCTTTGTATTTCAGGGATGATCTTGGGTCAGAACTGATGGTGATGAACAGTGAAACCTAAAATCTTCAAACTTTTGCTGAGATTTTCCAATTCTGACATGTGCTAGAAGTGCAGGCTTGGAAATAGTATTTCGCAATCTGTGTATTGAAGTGAATACATATAGAGTCACACACTGTGGTGAATTGTGAAGAATTTATTTGTAACTTGGTCAGTTTTAATGATTTACAAGGCTCTGACTTTCCAAAAGGACTTTATTCTTCGCTTAAAGTGCAAAGATTTGCAGGATAATAAAGAACAAGGGGCTGGGACTTTACTGTTAGCTCTTTCAGAAGGTTGGTACAGGCATGATGACCTAATTAGCTTTCTTGTATGTCAATGATTCGATGACTGTAATTTTAAACTGGGTACTTTAAGTACAATGGCAACTGGATGGTGCAATGAATTGAAATTCACTTTTCATCTCTTGGCATCTCTTGGTCTTGGGCAGTACTTCCAACACCACTCTTGCTGAGATTAAGGATAGCATGGGAATCTTTTTGATGTGTACATGTCAGGCAGGACCATCAGCCAGTAAGAGAAGCACGAAGCAAACAGATTTCTTTGATAACAAGGTGTGGAGCTGGATGAACACAGCAGGCCAAGCAGCATCAGAGGAGCAGGAAAGCTGAAGTTTCGGGTCAGGACCCTTTTCATTTTCAGGCTGCCTGGCCTGCTGTGTTCATCCAGATCCACACCTTGTTAACTCAGACTCCAGCATCGGCAGTTCCTACTATCTCTGAGATTTCTTTGAACTTCCTACAGTTTATATTGAGCATGATAGCATCATGTTTTCCTTTGCACTAGGACTAGGTTCCTATATTTACAAACACATTACCTAAACATACATCCGCTAATGATAAGCCCTGCAGCATCTCTCTACAACAGCTGTATAAAGTGATCTTTCTGTGCATAAATCTGCACTGAAAACAAAAGTTCATAGCCAAGGGAAATTATCAATCTTGATAAAGAACAATTTATTTACCATGAAAAGACCTGCAGGGTGCATTTGGAGGAGCAAGCAAAGTACAACATAAAGGCTAGTTGCTAATTACCACCTCCTCACTGGTAACTGCTTCGGTATTTTTATGCAGAATCCTGATTAGTTCAGAATAAATGGGAGACCAACATAAGGCTAGAACATTGCTAAATGCAATAGCTTCAAGCTGGTGTCACATTTTGAGATGCAAAAATTAATAACTGGTCTCTAACTCTGCTGTCAGGATGAAGCAGACAAACTTAGACAAAAGTGAATACCCTTCATGTGTCTCCAGAACAGCTTCCACGGAGAGAGATGGAGACAGTGGTAGACAGAATAGCAATAAAAGGTGCACGCAGAAAGCCAGGGAGAAGCAAAGGAAAAGCAGAAAAGCGGAAAGGCAGAAACAGGGACAGCAAGAAAGACATGAACGGGGATAGACAGGCAAACAGGCTCATAACAATCTGAACACAAAGTTGGTGAATGACCCTGATGCAATCTGAATATTTGGCCCTTCTCCCAATGTATATTGTGAACTGAGGGTGGGCAAACAGAGAGCAAGATTGAACAAACTGATGAAACACAATCCTGAGACCCTACTTAGTAAGTGATTGATAATAGTTATGCAAGAGTCCCCAGCAACCACTGTATGTTTCCATAGAAACAGCAGTCTATCATGTTTTAGCTCATGGTCATTCTGATTCTTTGTTCCAAAATGCGTGTGCTTCTACACGTATGTAAACACGCATGTATTTGGCAAGTGCACATATGCATGGAGGCATTACCTGTAATACATATCCACACACAAATACAGCGACAATCTGATAGAATCACATTTCCAACGCGAGGTGAAGTAAATCAGTTCTGCCTCTCCGCTCACTGCAGTAACGCACTGGGAACAAAATGTCTTAAAATCAAATTTCCATGCAGTCTTATAAATTATGGGGGGGTGGGGTGAATCTATGTGAAAGGTATTATATAAATACCAGATAGATAATACAATCAGAAGCTTCATGTCTTATCAATCACTGAACTGCAACACACGCAGGCTAATAATAGGATTTAACTGCAGTCAACACATAAATAATATATCCAATTATTGCAGAGGTCAATTTCTGTCTACATTTTTTTACTATTGTGAAAACTTATATCATTTAATTTCCATCTGGACACGGCCAGTGATCTCAGCTGATTAATGCAAATTGACAGGGTACTGGATGCATTTACAAAATCCGTATTTGTCTAGTAAATGCGTAACATGTTCATTGTAAATTATACTGCGGTGTATTTAGAGTCTCAAAGTCTCAGCCAAGATCAACTTGGTAAGAAAATTGGAATTAAATGGTTCGTTAATATCCGGCTTTAATCAGTAAAGATTCAGTGTACAAGTACTAGATTCGCCTTACCAGATAAGCCCCCACGGTTCCCTGTGCCAGCATCAGCGCGCACTCTGATACCAGGAAGATTTTGATGTTGGAAAAACAGGATTTCTTCTCGTCTCGCTGGACGTTACTGGCGCCGCTGTTCCGCGGTTGTCCGCTCTGCATTCTTTCTTCTTTATTTTCTGTGCCTCCCCCTCAGCCAGATAGAGACACAGAAACACACACACACACACAGGTGTAGGAGAAGTCAGCCTAGATCCTGTCTCTATCTCACCCTCCTCCTTGTCTTCAGCAAGACACGCTCCAGCACTCTGCTCCTCATCACTGTCCTCATCAGTCCAGTTCCCATTGTCACCTCAGTCAGGACCTCCCACCCTCCTGTGTTTGAGTGAGCAGCAGACTGGACGCTCTCTTCCTCAGTAACGATCCCTTTTCTCTCACTTAGCCCTTCCCCAAGGGGGTTAAAGCGTCTCGCATTGACGGCGAGAGCACCGGCGTTTTGACAGACCAGCGGCAGGCCGTTGGGCTGGCTCATTCTAGACTGCATTTCCACTGGAAGCTGGGGATAGATCGGCCGTCAGGCTCCATCACTGCTCCTTAATCCTCCAATCCACACACACACACAGAGAGAGACAATAGTCGCTGCAGCCCAGCAAACAGATAAAACATTCACCTGTAAGACGAGTATTCTGTGCGACGGGGGAAGTTCTCTTGTGCGATAAATGCCCATATAGAGAGGACAGCTTTCTCCTCTCTACCCTCCACCGTACACAGAGACAGACAGGGAGAGAGTGTGTGTTTGAGAGAGAGACAGAGAGAGAGGCAGAGAGGTAGAGACAGGGGAAAACAACTATGGTTAAAGATGCACTCTTTTAAACACACACACACGCCTTGTCATAATCCACTGGTCTGGTCTAATCGAGGTTTGACACTGAAGATTTGCACATTCCTCAAACACAGCAGCATTCAACCCTGCAACTGCGATAAAGAAATGATAGTGCAGACGATTGTTCAATTATTAATTCGCATCCTTGACACCGTGTTTTCTGATTTAATATTTAAATAGAATGGACTCGAGATTGTTTGTAACAAAATTTCTTTTATGAATCACTCAGTAATTTCATTCCAATATTAAGTTTTTTAAAACGCTCAGGTGATCTGTTACAAAGTCAATGGTTCGAAAAGTCATCCGCAGAAAATATATTTGGATATATTCAGCATCATTTTAACTGCGTGGTCAGAGTGTGTTGCGGTCGTGGCTAGATTTTCGTTACTTTAAGTGAATCTTGGGTTTTGAGGTTATATGTAGATGAGGCAGCGAACTCATGCAGCTCCCCACCGACTCCTTCCTCTCTGCAGAACCCACCACCTCCATCTAATGCTCGTGTTGAGCTAGTCATTGGGGTGGGTAATATAAACATTGCTAATGTGTAGAGAATGGAACTTTTGAAGGTAACGTTTCACAACCTTCACACAAATTTTGAATACTTCCTGTTCCAAAAAAGTTGGTTAAATATCATACGCGCGCTGATTAAAATATCTATTCAGCGTACGCAATTTTTAAACTAAAGAACTTTTTTGCATTCAGTACAGGGATGTACATTCGGTAGGACCTGGAAATCAGTTTAAAGGAATTGTAAACATTCATTAGTTTCAAGAAGTGCGGCTTTCCAAATTGCAGAAACTTATCTAGTACCTACACTACAGCAAGAATGATGACTAACACGGGACAGGCTGAACAGATTGGACCCACCGATTCCGTTCACTGACTTGAACACTGAGCAATTTAACAGCTGTTCAGGAAGTTTGCATCAAAAGATGGCGCTGTAACTAGGAGGGATTACGCTAAACTGCGAACAGAGCAATTTTTGTATCTCTTCATAATTATTTTTTAAACTCAAACCAATCTCTTTCACTTTTTTATTCTCTCACCGAGATGTGGGTGTCACTGGCTGTGCCAGCATTATTCTGAGGAAGAGCCACCGGACCCGAAACGTTAACCTTTTTTTCCCTTCACAGATGCTGCTAGACCTGCTGAGGTTTTCCTGCAACTTTGTTTTTGTTCCTGATTTACAGCGTCCGCAGTTCTTTTGGTTTTTATTTATGATTAAAACACATTGAAGATCCCTCATGGTATCTGTTGACATTATTCCTCCTTCCTTGTTCTCCTATATTCTCCTGAAGACGCTAACCAGTGCTGAGTTACAGTCATATGACACAAGCTGGCACCTGGAGACTTGGCCAAAGTGCCTTTCTTTATTTGTGAACCTACAGGGTTGTTTGTTGAGTTATTTGACTGTAAGGAAAAAGGATCTTGAGAACTACATTTGATGCTGTCTTCCTGAACATTCACAATTCCAGCATAAGGTCAGATGCAAAGCCTCTGAGTAAGTTTTCAATCTCCTTCACTGAGAAGCCCCAAACCAGTTGATTATCCCAACCTAATGTTGGAGTTTTACCATCCCAACCTTCCCTGATATCCGTGCTCCTGCGAGTCTGAACTCCTTCTAATCTCTGCACCATTGATGGTCATACCTTCTGCACATAGGTCCTAGATTATGGAATCATCGTATTAACCATCTCTTAAGACTCTCCTTAAAACAATGTTGATAACTTCTTCTGTGGACTCTGTGCCAATTATTTTTGATAATACGCTTGTGAAGAACCTTGAGGGGTTTTACTTTATTCTCAATGAGAAAATCAGTCAAAAGCCAGTAACGCTTGGGAAATGAGAGTATTATTGGTTGTGCTGGAGCTTTACATGAGTTAGACCAACGTGCATCCTTCATAGGTTTTACTGGGTTTTCTTTCTGTGTTTTAGGTACTACAAAGATGGAAATTGTTGTTGTTCATGCTGGGATAATCTGAATTTAGTGAGGTTGGGGTTTGAAGTTGAGAGTCATAGAGTCATATAGCATGGAAACAGACCCTTTGGTCTAACCAGTCCACGTCGACCATGTTCCCAAACTAAATTAATCTCACTTGTCAGCATTTGGTCCATATCCCTCTAAACCTTTCCTATTCGTATACTTATCCAAATGTTTTTGAAATGCAATAACTGTACCTGCATCCACCACTTCCTCTGGCAGCTCATTCCACACACAAACAATTCTCTGTGCAAAATGGTTAACCTCATATCTTTTTTAAAACTTTCTCCTTTCACTTTAAAGATATGCCCGCATGTTTTGAACTCCCCACCCTAGGGAAAAGACCCTTGCTATTCACCTTATCTATGCCCCTTATGATTTTATAAACCTCTATAAGGTCAAAAATGTTCTATATAAACATATGGATGATAATGGAATAGTTTAGGTTAGATGGGCTTCAGATTGGTTTCACAGGTCGGCGCAACATTGAGGGCCGAAGGGCCTGTACTGCGCTGTAATATTCTATGTTCTAAACCTCTCAACCTCCTACGCTCCAGTGAAAAAAAGTCCCAGCCTCTTTTTATGGTTCAAACGCTCCATTCCCAGCAACATCCTGGTAAATCTTTGCTGAACCCCTCTCCGGTTTAATAATATGCTTCCTATAGCAGACCAGAATGGCACACAGTACTCCAGAAGAGGCCTCACCAATGTCCTGTACAACCTGAACATGACGTCCCAACTCCTATAGTCAATGGTCTGAGCAATGAAGGCAAACATGCTAAACGCCTTTTTAACCACCCTGTCTACCTGTGATGCAAATTGTAAAGAATTATGTACCTGAACTCCTTGTCTCTCAGTTCTACAATACAGTTGGTTCTGATATAACGCAATAGTTTCATTCTTGTGCGATCTCGCATTAAATGAAAATCATGCAATAGCTGCACCAATTAAACTAATGGGGTCAGAATTGCATTATAATCAATGCAGCTAAGGAAAGTTTGCATTCTACAAATAGTGGTCTAAATTCTTCAATCACAATAAAGCCAATTCATGTTGAAGAAACATGTGTTATAGCAGAACCGACTGTACTACCCAGGGCTCTACAATTATTGTATAAGTCCTACCTTTGTTTATTTTATCAAAATGCAATACCTCACATTTATCCAAATTAAACTCCATCTGCCACTCCTCAACCCATTGACCCGATTAATCAAGATCTCTTTGCAATCCCATATGGTAGATTTCAGATATTGGGTGGCTCAATGATCCGTGATGTTTACGATGACAATTTACCACATTGCTGTGTTTTTCATGGTACTTCAAGACTGGTGAAGTCAGGAAACTGAAAGGATACAGAGCAAATTACATAATGCACCACAGAATGGGAAGGAAGATTTTTGTAATAGTGAGGAGAACTAGACATGATAGATTATCTTTACAGTGTTTAACAATGCAGTGCCTCTTGTCAGTAAACATTTGTACTGTATATGGTTAATAGTGGAACTTGTTAGGGTTTGCATAACTATGTAAGAGATATTGGTGAGTAACTTGTCATTTGGCCTGAAGTCCTCAATTTCATAGAGCATGGAGACTCTTTCCTGGGTCATAATGATGCATTAAAATGCTGAAATAGATTTATTGATTGATTGATTGATTGATTTATTGTCACCTACACCAAAATACAGTGAAAAACTTTAAATACATTGAAAAGCTTTAAATACAGTAAGTATATAATGTTCTTGTGGAAAACAGAATTTTTAAAATCTAAGATTGAAATCTAAGACTGGCTGATAAAGTGACTTCTCAGCATGGAATACACTGACTCCTGAAAGATTCTCTGTGTGAACTTCTGGAATGTCGAACCTTGTAGGATTCTAAGGAAGTTTCAATGAGTGAGATTTCAAGTGAAGAAATGCAAAGTGAACTAATTACCTCCTCTCAGCAGGGCGTCACCTCAAGTGGGTATATTCCAGGCTGAGGTGACATGAGTCAAAAACATGTTTGTGTTTACCCTTCTAGGAATGTACAAAAGAAGCTTGAAAAATAACAGCAACCCTGATCTGTGTGTGTATGTTTTTAGACAAGGATGTTGTGAATGTCACAGCTTAAATACCTTTGTACTGTAGATGAAAAGGAAAATACAGTCTATTGCTCTGAGTGCCACAAGCCAGCCACTGTGGAAGAAAAACAGGACGAAAGAATTTAGATTTATAAATCCAAGCATTTTAAAATCAACTACTCACCTACCAGTGTCCATGCTAGTGGTTCAGTTAGGAGCATAGAATTGTTCAGCTCTTTAGGCCTTCTTTACTAATCAATAAGGTCATGGCTGATTTGGTTATAATCTCAGTTCCACTTCCTGTCTGCACTCCATTGACCTTGACCACCCTCATCGGTCAAATGTTATTTTTCTGGTTTTGGTTGCAGTGACCTTATAACTGATTGATTGCCTTCAATCACTGAATTGGGAAGGTTGGGCTTGACCCACTGTGGATCACCTTTCTATGGTGATGAAAAGTGTGGATTAAAAAGGAGGTTAAGGGCAGCCAGAAGTTCTTATTAATGGGCCATCTGATCTATCCTGCTGTCAGTCCATTGTTTATTTCTGAATCAGAAAGTTGTGGCTTTTGTCCTGCTCCAGCTGAACTTGAGTCCAAAATATAGACTGGCACTCTAATAAGATGGGGAGG